GTTGTATATTAACTCCTGGAAACTTTCTCCGTCCTAGCCTAAATCCTTTTCCAAAGAAAGGATCCTCTTAAATAAATCCAAATAAATAGCCCTAAATTAATAATGAGTTACTGCCCATTTTTTATGTCCCTCACCAATTCATCCTGCCCCATTCACTTCCTTCTGGGATGACCTACCCTTTTCTTTTTTTTCTCTTACCACTTATCAAGCAATGACTATGTGCCAGGTTCTATGTTAACATGTTCTATGCATTATCACATGTAAATCTCAAAATATCCTGTTGCATGTATAAATTCAAGATAGATTAAGCAAAGTGTCCAAGGTCACATGACTAGTGAGTGGCAGAGTTTGTATTTTAACACAAATCTTAATCAATTTTAAAGTTTGCATATTTATTACCAAATATTGCATTTTCTGTCTTCCAAAATCCATCTCGAGGCAAATCTCCATCTCCATTCTGAACATTCATAGCTTTTTTTTTTTTTGAGAGACAGTGTCCAGGTGGGGGGAGGGGCAGAGAGAGAAGGGGAGAGAGAGAATCTTAAGCAGGCTCCATGCTCAGTGCAGAGCCTGACATGGGGTTCAATCTCACATCCTTAAGATCATGACCTGAGCAGAAATCAAGAGTCAGACACTTAACTGACTGAGCCACCCATGCACCCCATAGCTTTTTATATACAACATTTTATAGCATGTATTATCCAGCATAATGATTATTTACATGTATTGTTTCCTTCTCTATCTTGAAGAATCCAAGGGTTTACAACTTAAAAAATGTACTCAGTAAATGCTTCTTAAATGAGTAGATGAAATTTGATGTAGTCAGAATGCAATGTTCTAATTTGCAAATGTTAACATGATTTTTGAAAATACTTCACATATCGGGACACCTGAGTGGCTCTGTCAGTTAAGCGTCTGCCTTTGGCTCAGGTCATGATCCCAGAGTCCTAGGATCGAGTCCCACATCAGGCTCTTCCTTGCTCAGCAGGGAGTCTGCTTCTCCCTCTGCCTGCCGCTCCCCCTGCTTGTGCATACACACTCTCTCTCTCTCTCATATAAATAAATAAATTTTAAAAAGGAAAGAAAAATCTTCACATATCTATTTATGGGTGAATATTATATAACAAGAGAGATATACAGGTAAACAATATCCATGATAATCTCTATAATAGCAGGGACTTTATTTTTAATTCAGAAACACCTCTCATTGCATTATTTTTGAATTTCTAACAACTAAGTACTCAAATATGCAGAGAAACAAAGTGATTATTCTAGACAAATCGTATGTATTTATATATCATATTCCAAAAAATAAAATTACATATTATAGCCATTTCTAAGTAATGCCCAATAACTAAGGATTGTGTCTGGACATTCCTGAAAGTGATCAAATCCATGCATAAGCCATAGCCATACTGAGTGGTCCAGAGATTTATGCCCTGAAATGCACCAGCCACTCAAGCCTCCTGCAGTTGGTCGAGACTAACTTTCTTTGTTTCCAAATACCAGAAACTAATTCTGAGCCTAGTTCACTCCAGATTCAGAGATGTGCCTGTTTTCACCTGAGTCCCAGAACCTATGGGTCCCTTTTGATTTGCTTTAAGTGGCAGAGGTTCAGGTAACCACTGCTCATATATATATGACTATACAATGCAATTAAATTTGAAGTGTAGAGGTGAAGGAGGATATCACTCTAGTGCTTAATGTAGCCATATAAGGAGAGAGAAATAAAAAATAAAACTGTCATGCTTTTTGTTAGGGAAGATATTTCATTTACGGTTATTCAAAAAAATATAAATACGTCCATGTTTCTGTATAATTACTGAAGGTAATTATTCATCTTGAACCCTAATTTGTACAGGTTAGTAGTCCTGGCTACAAGGAAAAGTCTTTAAAATACCTCTTGGTCCCATTGCTACAGAGGTGTGGAGTGCCAAAAAAGAGAACATCTAGGAAGAGACTAAGCAAATAGTAATAGAAGCCATTTTCAAGGCAATATGGAGCTGGTGACAGGCATTTGCAGAGCAATTTGCAGAGAGAAGCATTCTTAAGAAAACCAATGATAAAAGCTCTGCACTTAAAACGAACCTGGGACAAATGCACACACAAAGACCAAGACGTTTTTGAAAAAAGTAATAAAGCCCAATTATAAGGATACAATCATTCCAGAGCAAAGCACCAAGGAATAAGAATAGAGTGTCGGGGAGAGAAATGTAGGAAACAATCAAGTGAACTTAAAAATACACAAAGATAACAGACTATTTATTATGAATGTAAATATGCATTAATTTATTTATAACCTGATTCAGTCAATGACAGATTTAGACAGACAAAACATTCTCTTAAATAGAGGAGGCTAAGATTTTTCTATTTCCTGAGAGATGAGAAAATGGAAATTAATACCAGAATGATTATATATATCATATGTATTTTTGTTTTATAAATATGCTTATGTTAGCCATATAATTAACTATTCATATTTCTTATTTTATAATGTGGATTAAGTCATTAACAAATTATTCTTTGGTCATTTTTTATGTACCCAAGTGATGTATATAATCAGATATTCGGAATAAATAGAACAGACTATTTCTATTACCAAATAGACTATTGGAAATTCTTAATGCTTCTTTCTCAGTGTTCTCAGTGCTTCTTTTTGTGTGAGACTACCACTCAGTATATAAACTCTATTGGGACCTTCTTAAGTGTTGCTGACTAGGGATATTAGTTAAGGTGGTTTTTTTTCATCTCTTTGGTTGCAAATACATCAAAAAACATTACACTCCCCCAAATAAACAAAATAAAACAAAACAAAACCTAGAATAACTTGGGGGAAATGTAACTAATTTATGGATTATCAGCAGATTATTGGGGCCTTTTCACAAAGTCAAAGAGAGATTTGAGTAAGCAGAACCTCAAAAGGACAGATAAAGAGCAGGTCTAAATATTTCAGCAGCTGAGGTTACAGATTATTTTCCAAACTACTGTCATTCATATGATTCAATACTGTTGACTACCAACTTGGTATCTCTCTAGTACAAATTCCAAATTCCCAGGAGAGAGAATCCAACTGGCCCAGCTGAGATGAGATATTTACCCCTAGATCAGTCAGGCATGGCCAGGGACAGACACATAGCCCAAACATGGCCACTGAAAGCCTACCTTTGTGGATCAGTGTTACTTACAGAGAAAACAGAATCATTATGGGTTGTCAACTCCTCTGGAAAGTGTCTGCCCCACTGGGAAATGTAATTACTTTTAAATAAACAGCAAAGGAAATCTATGAAACTAACAGCTCTTAATTCCATAGCAAATCAAGAAAAAAAATCTTTCTGATGTTCTCACCTGACCACAGAACTGAGAAGCAGACTATTTGGCATTTCTGACTTATGTTCTTCAGGAAGGGTCTTAAATGTAGTCATCTACTCAGTCACAAATGTCCTATAACATAAAGACCTAATCTGGGATTTGTAGATCCTAGAGGGTCCAGCTCTAAGGTAATAATGAAAGATGAATTATTTTTAATAATCCGAAAGACATAATTCTAATAATGGATTTACTTGCAATAAGACTGCACAAAATAACTGACATGTCAAATGTTTGGTATTTGGGGCTGAAATTATCGGTGTGGTAGAGGATCAGCTACTAATCAGAATTCTTATTGGTGTTACATATTGATTGTCTTTGATAAAATGGGAATACTATCTTATTTATCTTTGTACCTCCAGCAACAGGCATAGTACCTGACACAGCTGAATCAAACCACTAAATTTTGCCTAGTTTGAAACAAAATCCCTTAAAACACATCCTCAATGATACCCTGTAAAGGAAAAGTGTAAAATGACCCTTGAAGGAAAGAAATGGAAACCACCCACCTAGGAAGGTAAAATAGTATAATTACCTCTCTTCACCAACAAATATAAGAGTTGTAGATAATTTAATAAAACTTACTAAAGAGGAAATCAACAGATTGAAGACTCATTCATTGAACCTGCACTCACAGAGCACCTACCACATACCAGGGATTTACGTAGGTGTAGGTATACCAGGACCCTGAATAGCACAAGGTCTCTGGAGAAATAGACATACAAATCAGTAATTGTAAGATAATATCATCAGGGATACAATAGAAGGAGTGACTGATGAAGAAACAGAATTATTAAAACTCATCCTTTCTCTAGCATCAGCAGAGTCCCTTAGCATGCACTCCCCTCTGACCATCTGCTCACAAAAGTGTGACATTTTTATTCTCCAAGTCTCCAGCAAGTCTGGGCTGCCTCCGCACTGCAGGAATGCCTCCAAAATTTAGCATCATCATCTCTCCTTCATTGAAAGTGATCCCACCTTCTCCTCCTTCCACAGATAAACAAAAACAAGGAAAGAGCTTCATGCTCTTATGAATCTGAGTGAAAAGTAGGCTCCCCCAGGCCTACTGCATTAGAATGCAGTCATAAGTCACGTTATGATAGCCCAGCTACACCTTCCAGCAGCTTGTATCTGAACAAAAGACGAGGATATTTAAGAAGCTCTACATATCACTTTACATTGCTTGCAAGGTGGTTCAAATGAGGGGAATGCCCGAAAAGTAATTTTCAAATTCCTTGTCCCCATTACACACAAATTATTTTATAACAGGCAAACTGTCAGTTACAGTACACACATTTCCCAAAGGAACCACTGTCACATTTATCAGGCAATGCACGTATGGGAGAATATCCTACAAATCAGCCACTTTCTTCACTTCTTTTCTTTACGGTGTAGTAGAATGAGTTCATGAAAAGAGTTAAGGTGTCTGAGATCTATTCCCAGCTTTACAATTGATACACTATTCTTACTCCCTTTGCATTTAAATCTCCCATTGGTAATACAGGAATGATGACATAGTACCTGTTTGTTTCTAGGGCACTTGAAAATTCTCTGATAGAAGATTTCACACAAACGCAGAGACCATTATTATACCAGAAAGACGTGAAAATTGGAAATCCGCGTACTCATCACTATTAAACAGTCAACACAACAATGACAGAAGAGAAAGCATCCTTCTCTGAAGCATCTAAAATCAAGTATTGCTGAATATGCAGCTGCTGAAAAAAATACATGTGCAAATATATTCATTTTAATGACTGTCCAAATCTAAATCATCAATAATCCATTTAAATAAATCTTTGGCAAATTATCCTGACTCAAAAAAAATGCATAAATCCCTAATCACAGGTATTTCTTATAATGTAGAGCTTTCTGAAAAAAACATTCTCTTTTCTAGAATCTCAGGAAGGATTCTAGCCCATTCCACTAAGTTTGTTCCAAAATATAAAAATAATTCTCCTTTCATCTGGCCAATTTGGAATAATCAAATTATCAAACTTACAGTACAGTGGTGGACAGGCATCCAAGCAGGGGCTTCCACTGAACAATTCTGGGCTGGGCATTTGCCTTGGTTTTGCTGCAAATAAGTAAAAATGATGTTATATTTTATATATTACGTGCAGTGATATACACAAGCTGACATATTTATCATCAATGTGTTTATTACCTTATTTACAAGTATAGGAGAAGCCTTTGAGGATGATTTTTGGGTACAGTGCTGCAGAAAACTAGGTCTGTGATTTCTACTCTTATCAAAGCATAAGAAATCATCCTTTGCTTTTCCTATTACTCTAAAGACTGGATTTGGAGCACTAGGCTTCCTCAGCGGGTGGCCTTTCCTGGCTACAGCAGGACCCATCTGAGAACTCTCCTAACCCAGAGGCTCCCAGACAACACTGATACATGCTGTATCCGTGTGAGATCATTTTGGTCAAGGTACAGATAGACTTGTTTACTTGTCTCCCCTTCCTGATTGTGAACTAGGGGTGACGATTCTCTCTAGGGCATTTGATAGAACCCCAGAATGTACAGTCATACAGGATAGATCTTAGAGGTCTTTCTTGTCACATCAGAAAATGAGGTGAAAAGAAATCAAACAAAGAACATGGAGATTTGACATCATAAGCCATTTGCCAGGCACTTCTTTTTACATAAGAAATTTATCTCTAGCTAACCTATTCTTTTGTTGTAACTCTTATAAATTCATTTCTAATCAGCCTTTTAGAAAGAACGAAGTGCTTCCCTTTAACTAATAATACTGCTCAATCCCTATAATAAGGAGAACTGGTTAGTGTTAAAAAGGGGGAGGAGGTGATTTAAATAACAATCTTTTACCTTTTACGCTCAATTATAATATAAACAGGCTAATAATAAGGTTAGCAATAGTCATAAAAAACCTAGCTGTGATTTATTGAGCTACTAAATATGCTCTTGTTCTAGATCCATTATATTATCACTAGTCACCACAACAATATGGATAGCAGTATTATTATGCCCATTCTACAGGGGAATAAACTGAGGCTCAGAGAGGATAAGCAACTTGCCTAAAAGCTACCCTAGAAGAAAGGAGCCTAGCTGGGATTGCAGCAAGAATCTGACTGGCTCTCATGCCCATGCATGTTCCCTCTATGAGAAGCTGCTTCTGGTATTTTTCATTTTCTATCTGTTTAATGGGGCTTAAGACATGTCATCAACTAATGATTCCATGTTATCAATGATCCCAACATTTCTGACTTAACTAGAATAAAATATTGAATTCAGTACTTACACTAACAATTATTCTTTGTGATTTGTAAGCTTTTTAGAACAAACTTTATTTAGGTAATCTATTTTTAAGGCATCACTAAGCTCTGAAGTGCTGTTTGAGTGATTATTGATAAAGTCACCATAAAAATACACTTAGACCATCAATCTCCATGCTGAGTTTTCTTATTTAAATCAAAATATGACATATAGTACCAACAGGGTACCTAACGTACACTCAGCTGGTGTTAGATGACCACAATTTCAAGCTAAGCTCAACCATGTACTTGCAGCCATGAGCTGATCTGAGTCTTGGTAGTTACATCTGCAAAACAGTGTTAGTATTTTGCCTTATTCATACAAATTTTATTAGATGATACATATAAATTCACCTCAGATCATAACCATAATTTGCAAGGATGTTAATAGAACACACAAAGTAACAGGACAATCTTATCTTCCTTTTCTGATAGCTTAAGCCAGATAAATAAATATAATTTATCTACATATGAGGTTAAGCTTTTTGAAATTTGAAAATATTATTAAAATGCTAGTTAGGGCACCTGGGTAGCACAGTCAGTTAAGTGGCTGCCTTTGGCTTGGGTCATGATCTCAGGGTCCTGGGATCTAGCCCTGCACTGGGCTCCCTTCTCAGTGGGGAGCTTGCTTCTCCCTCTCCCTCTGCAGCTCCCTCTGCTTGTGCTCACTCTCTCTCTCTGTCAAATAAATAAATAAAATTTTTTAAAAATAATAAAAAATAAAATGTCAGTTATTATGATAGAGAACAAACTGAGGGTTGATGGAGGGAGGTAGTGGGGGATGGGCTAAAGAGGTGATGGGTATTAAGGAGGGCACTTGTGATGAGCACTGGGTGTTATATGTAAGTGATGAATCACTAAATTCTACTCCTGAAACCAATATTACGCTATATGTTAACTAACTAGAATTTAAATAAAAATTTGGAAGAAAAATAATGCTAGTTATTATTATTTCTAAACATGAGAATTCATACCAAACAATGTTAATGGTGAGGAATGTCTCCTTTGTAATAATTTATAATTGTTATTATTATTAATAGTAGTAAGCAACTTGTTTTATATCTAGATAGTGTTCATTTTTATGGAGCACATGACAAAGAGGTAAAGAATAATTGAGCTATGCCTCGGTGGAGGAATATAAGTACTCATAAAATGTGATGGGGGCTAAAATAAGGAGTGTTTGAATTGCCATGGATTCACAGCATGCAGTAAAGAAAGATGGAAATCTGTGTAAGTCTCTCTTACTCCATTACTACCTGAGTTTTGGATACTAAGACTTCCCATTAGTGTTTTAATCAAGCAGATTAACAATATGATTACATAGGGGCAGACACATAAAAAGGCCTACTGAAGACAGAAGCCACATGGACATAAATTATTATGCTTAGTGTGTGACCAAAAAAAAAAATATATAAGATCAGACTATAAGTTAGGATCTTGGATTTCAGTAGTGTTTCCATTAATCTATCTGTGAAACTTTGGGAAAGTTACTTTAAAACTTTAAACCTCACTTTTCTCATGTATAAAATAAGAGGGTTTTTATTAGATCCACAATTCAATGTGGGGAGAGGAAGTGTCATTCACCCATGGATCTTTTCTAAACCTCACATTCCTCCCAAGAATTTAATATGTTCCCTCTTCCAAAGGAGTGTACCCTCCAGTTGAAAACCCCTATCATTCTGATCTACTGTTACCATAAGATAGAGTTATTCCTCTGTGAGTTTGAGGTATAACAAAGGTTGAGAACTGCCAGTAGAGATGGTCTCACAAGAGCTTTCAACTCAAGTGTGGTTAAAACCCTAACCTTAGGTTTTACCTAAACCATCCTTCTAGTTTGAAAGAAGATAAAATCTAACAGGGGTCAAGGGAACTGCCACAGTAGGTAAAGTAAAGGGTTTAAAAATCTTTTTTCCCTTCAAGTTTTCATTCTCCTTCTTCAATATTGTTTCTAACATTTAATGTGGGCACTGTGGTCAGAAGAGTTTAGGGGTACCATCTATTTGGAAGATCCACACCCCTTACAAGGCCATTTAGAAAGAGAACAAATACTAGAGGAAAAGACACTCTCAACCTACCTTTAAGTTAATTCTTAAGCTAAAAATCAAGAGGGAATATTAGAATTCCCTAAAGGGCCAGCGCAGCTCTCCAAACAAGATTTTAAGATAAAAGATGGGTATTAAAAAGGGCACATACTGCATGGAGCACTGGGTGTTATATGCAAATAATGAATCACGGAACACTATATCAAAAACTAATGATGTAATGTATAGTGATTAACATAACATAATAAAATAAAATTTAAAAAAAAATTGGTGACAAATTAACCTCAAGACAGAGCTTTCCCTTCTCTTGCGTCCAACTACCCTGGATATTCATTCCTACAGATGTCGATATGTGACTTGATCAGGATTCAGGATCTGCAGTGCTAACCTTGGAAAACATGTTCTCTCAAGAGACAGAACTATCAATGGGTTTTGGTCTTTTTAAAATGCTATAGTGTTTAGACAGGTTGATGTCTCCAAGTCTCTCACCTTCCTTAGTTGTCTTTTTCTGACTGTAATATCTTGACATATTTCATTCTGGATTATCCTGTGCAAATGAGCCAGACATGCTGGACAATTACACCTCAGATTGATTATGTAAATACATAACTACAGAGGATTTGAATAGTGACAAACACTTGGCAAAGAAAACTGAAGATCTTGTACCCAATGAATCCCATCTCCAGAAAGAGTGAGGATTTTTTTGAATATCAGCAGTTTATGTCTGTTAGAGTGCTTTGGAGTTTACAAAGTACTCATATAGACCTTTTAGTCATTTAATCCTCCAAACAAGTTTGTGTGTGGCAGGGTGAGAACTGATTCATCCAAACAAAATTTTAACCTAATGTTTTATTCAAAACAGCATGTTTTTCTGAAAGCAGAGAACAAGCTGAAAGGTTCTATTGTAATAGTCATAGTAAAATAATTCTTGTAATCAGAGAGTTTTTTCCTGGGCTGAGAACTGTCTCATGATAGTACCGTACACATAATCATTAATTCCTTTACCCATCCACTCATTTATCAAATAAGCATTATGTGGAAGAAACCATGCTAACTATATAGGGAGACATAAATTTAAAGACATAAAAATTTAAATAATTATTCTTTCTTCAAAGAGCTCCCAAACTTTTAGGAGATATACTATAGCATGTTACATTTAAAACAGGGTTAAGGGCTGCCTCGGTGGCTCAGTCAGTTAACCGTCCAACTCTTGATTTCAGCTCAGGTTATGATCTCAGGGTCATGAGATTGAGCCCCGCATTGGGCTCCATGCTCAGTCGGGAGTCTGCTTCTCTCACTCTCTCCTCCTTTCCCTCTGCCCCTGCCCCTGCTTGTGCTCTCTTTCTCTCTAAAATAAATAAATAAATCTTAAGGGGGAAAAAAAAAAAACAGGGTTAAATGACCATTCATTCATTCATTTAGTTGGTCAACATTCGTTGAAAAATTGGTATGTGCCAGCTACTGTATTAGGAATAAGGATATACTCTGTCTAAAAGAAGTTCTGAGTCTAAGGGAAAAAAAATGACCTCATAAGCATGCAATTATAAAGCAATATTATTGATATGATATAAATAAAACATGACATGGGCCAATCAAAAAGATCCATCTTACCCATTTTGGGGGCAGGAATAAAGGACGAGAAAAGGTTATGAAAAATTGTATGGAGAAATTCAGGACAAAGGTAAGAGTACTGAACTCTAAATAAGGAAGGGCTTTACAGAGTAAATACTTCAGTTTTCCAGTAAAGCTTTTAG